GCAGCTTTCTACGCAGGTCCTCCTCCAGGTGCCGGATGTCCTCCTGCAGCTCAGCGATCTCCTCCAGGGTCTGCACGGGCAGAGTGACCCGTGTCACCTGCTGACCGTGACCGTGTCACCTGGGCTGCGTCCAGGGTGTCCCACAGCAGGGAGCCGCGCCCAGGAGAAGCTCACGTTCTTCTCCTGCCACTTGAGCTCGCTGTACACTTTCTCCATCTCCCGCAGCCGCTTCCTGAAGGCGAACTCGGTAGCAACCCTCTGGGCTTCTAGCTCGTTGTTGGTCTGAAGGACAGGAAGCAGGCAGGGCAAGGTGTGCGGGCTCCCGGCCATCTGTGGCTGATGCTCAGGCGAGGGGAGGGCGGGCCACGCAATCCCATGGATCCCAGGGCGCACAGGTGAGGCAGGGGGGTCATCAGGCACCTCTGTGATAGTCAGGGCGATGGCCTCCCTCAGCTCCAGGGCTGCCTTCATCTCGGCCTCAGCTCGGTTCTTGTTGAACTGGCTGAAGTCGTCCCACTGCTGAAGAGTGGTGGTGCTGCAGGGGCGGGAAACTGGGGTCACTGGACGGCCTGTGAGTGGAGGAGGAGACACTGGCTGGGACACTCTCTTACCCATCGGGGACACGCGTTGGGTTGACCTTTAGAGAGATGTTTGGGGACTTGAGGTTGAGAGACAGGCAGCCCCTGTCGATCTCCAGCGTCTCCATTTTGCCCCGATGGTCAGAGTTGAGCTGCTGTCGGGCTTCCTGCAGGAGGCTGGGAGCGAGCAGACTCGTTGAGTGGGGGGACGCTGAGGTGGGGGGAGGACTGGGAGGCCTCTTCCAGCAGAAGGTGACAGGGCTGCTGCTGCAGCGGAGGTGGGCCCGGCACAGCCACTGAGCCCCCCACAGCTGGGCCCCCGTGGCTCAGGCACACCCTGGGCACAGGACCGAAGCGACATCACCATGCTGGGTGTGAGATGCATTCTGAGACCGTGTCCAGGCAGTGGCCAGTGTGCCATGGGCACAGGAGGGATAAGAGGTAGTGAAGCAGGCTAGCTTACGGCTCAGCAGGACCCAGCCACCTTGAAATGAGAACAGGCTGGCCAGGTAGCAAGTGTGGGAGGGTCCCGTGAGAAACCAGGAGCAATTGATGAGTCGGGAAAGCGATCCACGCTGACTGTTGGTAGGGAAGGACGTGCGTGTGTTCCTGTCTCTATCAAACACTGAGGTCACGGTGAGCTTTCCCAGACACTGCGGGGTGCTGGCTGGCTGTCTCCCTGGGCCGTTACAGAGACGAGCCGCTCTCCAGCCTCTGCCTCTTGTTCCATGGACAGTGAGCAGCAGCCAGGCCACGCAGCACGTGACAGCAGCACGTGCTGTTACCCACGGTACCCAATGCTGTGGTTGGGATGTCCCCCAAAGTCGTGTGCTGGGACTCGGTTGTCTAAGGTGTTGAGTGAAAATTGAATCCCTTTATGGTGTTCCAGGGTGATAGGGTCCCCGGGGCAGGGCCCTGTGATCAAGACCTAGCCAGCTTACTGAGAGGGAAGGAGACCAGAGCAGGCAGAAACCTCCAATGACCACTCTACTCTAGACCCTGCCCTTGGCCATGGAGCCTCACCAGGAGTTGGCTCCTGGGCCTCTTACCTCTTTTTTTTTTTTTTTTTTTTAAGAGATATTTTTGCTTTAGGGTACGTGCACTGGTCAGAAAGACAGAGAGACAAAAATCAACAAATCACCCTCTGGGGGATTGGCTATGCCACTGTCCCTTCTAGTCTCCTCTTGGGATTTTGGGCACACATGCACACACACCTGGCTTGAGTTTTAAGCCACTGGGTCTGGGATGCAAACTGTGGTCAACTACGTGGGAGTCCAATGACATAACCATTACACCATCTGCTGGTCCTGGAGCCTCGGTCCTTAGGAATCGCTCAGTCTCAGGTGTTTCCACTAGCAACTCACTCATGGACAAGACACCTGGGTGCCACATCCAAGACCGAGTGTGCGGCCCTGGTGTGACCGTCCCCTCACCAGAGCTGCTCGAAGGCCTGGGTGATCTTCTGCTGCAAGGCCCTCTTGGTGGCCTCGATGACCTCCACCTCCTTGTGCAGTTCATCTTCCACGGGGTCCTTCACCACGTCAATGTCCCGTCGACTCTCCCGAAGCGTCAGGCACTCAATGGCCACATCAAGGGGCAGGTTCTTGGCCTGCAGGTTTTGCTCTGCTGACTCCTTCATCTAGAAGAGAGGGCAGACAGGAGGCGGGAGGAGCTCTAAGGGGGCGCACGGGAGGCCGCAGGAGCTCCAAGAGGGGGCGCATGGGAGGCCGCAGGAGTTCTAAGAGGGGGCGCACGGGAGGCCGCAGAAGCTCCAAGAGGGCCCACGGGAGGCCGCAGGAGCTCCAGGAGTGGGCACAGGGGAGGTCGCAGGAGCTCCAAGAGGGGGCGCACGGGAGGCCGCAGGAGCTCTCGCCCCTCCTTCCTCGCAGCAGAGGGACCCCTGAGTGACACGTGTCACCCCAATCCCCGGGTAAGGGCTGCCAGGCGGCTTCGCCACAGTCTCGGGCACTGGCCCTGGCTCCCTGCCTGCGTCAGGGCATCGATCTCAGCGTCCAGATCCGTCAGACACTTGTCCAGCATCTCCTTCCACCGGTTGACGGTGTGGATCCTCTCTGCCAGTCGGGTCCTGTTGTCGTGCTCATCCCAAATGGTCTGGAAGAGACAGCGGTGGATGCAGAGGGCGGTGGCAGCTCGGCCCAGCCCTTTGCCCAGCGAGCGGCCCCCTGCCCCACCTGGTTGTTGGTCTCATTGCGGAGGACCCGGGCCTCCTGGCGGATCTGATGGGAGGCATCTCGCTGCCGCTCGGCGTTGGTGGATAGCAGGGAGCTGTTGGTGTGCCAGTCGGGCAGCCGGAAGCGCTGACTTGGCTTGACACTCAGCGTGGCCATGGCGCGGGGACTTCGAGGGCCAGAGACCCCAGGTCTGATCCGAAACACAACACCTGCCGAGGAAACAGGAGGCTGCAGAAGGCCACGCGGGAGCACAGCACGCCCAGGACGGCTGCCTCTGTTTTGCTCCAAATCTTTCCTGCAGGCAGCCTGCGTGGACCGGCCCTAGCTTTGTCACTGCAGTGAGGCCTGAACTCCCACCTGTCCACCCCAGACCCCTGCAGGTCCTGGAGCAGGTAAAAGGAGGTAATGGGGTCCCCGCGGGCAGGTGTGTGTGTAATGCCCAGAGCTGTGTGTGTCCTGGGGGACGGTTGGCAGGAAAAACGGGCTTAACTCCGGCTTCCCCCTGCTTCCAGCAGCCCTGCCTTGTTGAACTGCCCCCTCCCACACACACTCCCAGAGTCTCCTCCAGGCTCTTGGGGACCTGAGAGAAACCCCTGGCGTTCCTCTTAGGGCCGCGCCGCTGGGCAGATGCCCCACGGCTAGCACCAGGGAGCTGGTGGAGGGAGGGCACCGGTGAGGAGGCGGTGCCCAGGGGCGGAGCTGGGTCAGTTCGCAGCCGCCGAGCCTCTCCCCTGCCGGGGGAGGTTACTGGG